CAAGAAATTTTCACAACACTATCAGTTTCATCATTTTTATTAGTATTATCATTTTCTTCATCTTCATGACCGTAATCTATATTAACGTCACTATTATCTTTATTATCATCTATTATGCTCATAATTATCTCTATCATAGTCACAATCGTCAACATCATCATTTTTATCATCATTATCATCATCTTTTTCATCTTCATTATCATCATCATCATTACCATATTCATCATGTTTATAAGCATTGTCATCGTCATCACCATCATCACCGTCATCATCTGTGTAATTGAAGATCAAACGAACTTACCTGTAAGTGAAGTTCGATCGAGATTATACGGAGACCTCGTTCAAAGAGATATCTCGAGAACAAGGCGAATGAAGTATTATTGTTTCCGTTATAATCATCATTAACATCAGTATTATTATTACTTTTACAATCGTCGTAATCACCACCTTCATATAAGACGTTACAAATACATCACCATCATTATTAAATAAGACATAATTATTATATTGAGAGTTACAATTGTTAACATCATGAACAAAATCATTAACATCATCATCCAAACCATATTCATCAAAATCAAAATTATCGTTAACATCTTTTATCATAATCACTATCATTAATTTTGTATGCTAATATATAACGATGATGACGATGATGATCTCGATGATACTAATATAGCTTATAATGATGATAGATTTAGAAATGATTTGCTGGTGATCCTGATGTCGTTGATATAGATAACGAATACAATGATTAAATTAGTCATAATGATACTTATAATCATAATGTTGATGATAAAAATGATGATAAAAATGATAATAGTTATAATAATGGGTTTGATGTTGATTATGATGATTATGATAATGATAATGTACTTTATATAGATGATGATGTTGTGGATTGTGACTCTGATTATAATAATTGTGATGGAGATAGTATTGATAGTGACACCAATGATGGTGATACTGATAATGATGACAATGACGACGATTATGACGATAATAAAAATAACGATACGAATGAAGTTGATAATGTAGATGGCTATTTATTCAGAGGTCGTTTACAGAAATGAAAATTACAATGATGTTAATAGTGATAATAATGCTAATAAGAATGATGTTAATGATGAAAATGATAATCAAGAAGATCATAGTGATGATAATAAATTATAATGATAATGATGATCATGATTTGGATGATTCAAAAAGATTATGATGATGATGATAAAGACGATGATGTTAACGATTGTAATTATGATTATAATAATCGTGACCATGATATAATAATAATAAGATCGGAAATACAGATGCCATCATAGATAATGATATTGACGATGTTAATGATAATGTTACTAATGAAGCTAATTATAAAGATAGGCTTTATAATGATTGGCTGGTGATACATACGCCGTTTATAGACATGAAGATTACAAGGGTCGTAATAGTAATAATAATACTGATGATAATAATACTAATGATAAAAATGTAAATGAGGTTGATGATAGTTATGATGATAAATGATTATAATGACGATTATATTTATGACAATCGTGGTAATGATGATGATAATGTAAAATGATACAGACGATGATCTTAACTATTGTGATTATAATAATAATCATGGTGACCATGATAAAAATAATGACGCCAACGGCGATAGTAATGCTAATATAGATAACGATAACGACGATGAGGATGATAATAATACTAATATAGCTAATGTTGAAATAGTTCCCTAAATGTTTTTCTGTTGATTTTGATGTCTTTAATATAGATGACGATTAGCATGATTGTATTAGTAATAATGCCACTCGTGTTCTTGATGTTAATGATGAAAATGATGATGGAAATAATGATAGTGATGAAAAAAAAAAGATGATTTTGATTCTGGTGATTAGGGTACTGATGATAATCATGTTAAAAATTATACAGATAATGATGTTAAAGATTGAGATTTAATTATTATCATAATCATTATTATCGTTTTTACCATCATTTCTATTATTAACATCATTATCATCAGTATCATTAGTTTTATTGCTAACGTTGTAATTGGCATCTCTTGAACGACATCTCAATAACCAGGAAATTTTTCACAGCACTATTAATATCATTATCTCCATTAGAATAATTATTATCATCATTGTTCAAATGGTTATCTTCATCAGCATTACTATCATCGTTCTCATGATAATTACAATCATGGTCACACTTATCATACGAAAAAGTCATAATCGCCAAAATTATCATTTATATCATTATCATCATCATTTTCATTATCATTTTTATCATCAATATCATTATCTTCTGCATCATTGATACGATTTCCATCATTGTAATCGTCATCTTTTTAAACGAAAACTAAATAACTTGCAAATTATTAACACCACTATCGTTATTATCATCTCCATTAGTATGATCATTCTCATCATCGTGATCATTGTCATAAGCATCATTACAACTATTACCATCATTGTAATCGTAAACTCGGTAAATCTTCAATAGTGTGATCATTTTTATCATCGTCATCGTTGTCATTAGTATTATAATTACTATTACTATCATTGTAATCGTAATTTCGGTAAATGACATTTAACTGACCAGCAAATGATTGACAGCACTATCTATATTATTATCATTTTTATTATCTTTATCGTTATTATCGTTATCATCGTTATCTTTATCAGCATCACTATGTCGTTGCCATTATTATTACTATCATAGTAATAATTATCATAGAAGAGTGATAATTGTCAAAATCGTTATTTTTATCATCATCATTCTTATTATTACCATAATTATCGTTAATATAATCATCATTATTATCATTAATCATTTTCACTATCATCATTTTCATTATTATTTTCATCATTAATATTATTATCATCAGTATTATTATTACTATTACCACTATTTAAATCGTCATCTCTATGAACGACAAAAGTATCACTAGCAAATCATGACCAAATCTAACTTTATTTTCAGTCCCATCAGTATCATTATAATCATCGTCTTCATTACCGTTATTTATAATGGCATCACTATCATTGTTGTAGTCATTATTAAAATCATGGTCACACTTACCAAATGCATAGTCGCAATTGGCAAAATTATCATCTATACCATTATTATCTTTATCATTTTTACAACTAGTTTTATTATCAATTTCATTATCACCAGTTACATTAATAATATTACCATTATTGTAGACGTCATCTCTATAATCAACATCAGAATTACTAGCAAATCATTTCTGGAGCTGTCTATCATTTGCTTCAATAGTATCACTGTCATCTTTATCATTATCATCGTTATCATTATCAGCATCACTATTAGCGTTGTTACTCGCTATTCCCATCAAGATCGAAATTATAATCATAGTGACAATTATCATTATCATAATTGCTATTATTATCATCTTCATTATCATCTTAATCATAATCATCGTCTTCTCCATTTATCATCAAAACTATTATCATTTTCATAACCATTTTCATTGTTAATAATATTTTTGATAGTAAATTATTTCTACAACTATCGTAATTTTCATTTCCGTTAATAACATTAAAATTACCAACAAATCATTACTATCATTGTCTCTTTTATCTTCTCTATTTGTATTATAATAATTATAATCCTCATCATTGTTATATATATAAGCAACTTTTTTCGTTATTATCATCTTTACTTTCGTGATCACAATTATTATGATAAAAGTCATACTAAGCAACATCATCATTTTTATCGTAATCATCATTATCATTATCATCAACATCATTATCGTGACCATTATCGTCGAGATCATAGTCATCATTATCATCATCATCGCCATTTTCTTCTTAATTATCGTTTCCATTATCATCATCATGATCATAAGTATTAATATTACCTTTACAACCGTCGTAGATGACATTTCCTTATGTAACATCAGAGTCACCAGCAAAATATAACATCACTATCTTCATCATCATCTCCATAAAGACTATTATTATCATTGTCAACATCGTTAGCTATATCAGCATCCGTATCATCGTTGTCATCATCATTACTATCATAGTAACAATTACAATAGTCAAAGTCATAATCTTCAAAATCGTTATTTTTATCATCATCCTTATTAAAATTATCAATGTAAATATGATTATTATTATTATTATTAATTATTAAAACTATCATTATTTTAATCATCATTTTCATCATTAATATAATTATCATCCACATTATTATTACTATTACCATCATTGTAATCTTTATCGATATCAATGACATCAGGATTACCAGAAAAACATTGCCAAAACTACTTTTATCATCAGCTTTATTCGTCGCCATTTTCATATTTATTATCATTTACATCATCAACACAATGATCCTCAGTATGATTTTTACCTTGACAACCATCGTAAATGATATCTCCAATCCTAAGATCAGAATTACCAGCAAAATATTAACATCACTATGCTTATCATTATCTATATTAGGACAATTATAATCATCATTGTCAACATCGTAATCTATATTAGCATCACTATTATCGTTGTCATCAACATCACAATCATTATAACAATTATTATAGTCATAGTCATAATCTTCAAAATCGTTATTTTTATTATCATCCTCATTATAATTATCATCTTAAATATGATAATCATAATGATTAATAACTATTATAACTATCTTCATTTTTATCATTATTTATTATAATTATCATATCATCATCGTCATAACAGTTGTGTATATCAGCTTCACTATCATTGTTCTCATTATCCTTACTATTACGGTAACAATTATGAATACTCTCGAACGTCAACATTATCATCATTATCATCATAGTTATCATCTTTATTCATCATCACCACTATCAGCATCTTAACAATAATTTTCATATTTTATTTATGTATTGTCAGTATCATAGTTTCTATGACCATTATCGCAATCGTCATCTCTATAAACGAAATAAGACGCACCAACAAATCAATATCAAAACTGTCTTTATTATCGTTTTAATTAGTATCATAATCGTCAATATCGTCTTTATCCTTATCTAAATCATAATCTCTATTATTTTTGTCACCATCACTACTATCACGGTCACAAATTTCAAAATCGGAGTAACAATCGTCAAAATCATCGTGTTTCTTATCATAACGAACATCATCATTACCATAATTATTTAAATTGTAAGCATCAATAATATCAATTATTTTTAACTCTATTATAACCTTTATTATTATTTTTATCATTAATATCATAATTATCAGTACCATTGTCACTATTGCCATCATTAAAATTTTTATTGATATTAATGACATAGGGATTTTTCGCAAATCATTGCTAAAACTATCTTTTACATTAGCTTTATTAGTCGACATTTTAATCTATATCATCATTTCCATCATCAACATAATGATCATCAGTATGATTATTACCTTTACAACCATCATAAATAATATCTCCAAATCATTCATCAACATCACCAGCCAACTATCAACATCACTATCTTTATCATCATCTTTATTAGGACAATTATCATCAACATCGCTAACATCGTTATCTATATCAGCATCACTATCATCGTTATCGTCATCATTACTATCATACTAACGATTATAATAGTCATACTCATAATCTTTAAAAACAATATTTTTTCATCATCCTCATTAAAATCATCATCGTAAAGGTGATCATCATTGTTATTATTAATTATAATCACTATCATCATTATTATCATCATTTTCATCATCTATATTATTATTATCCATATTATCATTACTGACACCATAATTGTAATCGTCATACGTATTAACGACATGAGGATCACCAGCAAATCTTAACAAACACTAACTTGTTTATCAGCAACATAACTATCATTTTCATTATCATCGTCGTTACAGTTGTATTTATCAACATCATAAATATCATTATCATCATCGTCGTCGTTACAGTTGTCTATATCAGCATTACTATTTTCGATTACATGATCATTACAATCATGGTAACAATTAACATAAATATACTTTCGATCGACAACATGATCATCATGATCATCATCAGTATTATCATTTTCCCTATAACCATTATTGTAAACGTCATTTCTATGAACAACATCAGAATCGACAGCAAATCAGTACCCAAACTCTCTTGACCATTATCTCTATTTGTATCGCTGTCATTTTTGACATTATCATTGTTATCTTCATCAGCATCACTATCAGCGTTGTAATCGCCATTACTTTCAAGATCACAATTATCAGAATCATCGTGACATTTATCATTATCATTATCTTTATCATTATCATCATTATTATATTTATAGTTATAATTATCGTCATCTTTTTTTATTACCACTATTATAATTTTCTTTACCATTATATTATCATGATTAATATTATTATCATCAGTATCATGATTACTTCGTACATTAATGTAATCTTCATC